CGGACAGGGTGCGGTTTCTTGTAGCTTAGTTTTGGGCTAGTGTTTGGTGAACCGACGGACAGTCCCTCCTCAGATGAGGGGTACTTGCCCGAGTGATTTTTTTGAAGTTAGACTATAAAAGGGTAGACATTAGCGGTACTATTCCTCTTGGGTTCCCGCGGCGTTTAGTTGACCGTGACGACGGTGAACTTAAGCCCGGGGCGGAACGTGGAACGCGGAGGTTCTTGAGTGTGTTGGACTTGCTTTGTGGTAACCCATTGGCTTGTCATCGTCTACTTGTCTACTGTCACTACGGTGACTGTGTGTTCTTTTGCACTGTGTGCTTTCACTACTAAGTGTTAGTCACTACTGTGTGTGAAGCAATGTGTTCTTTTGCACTGTGTGCTTTCACTACTAAGTGTTAGTCACTACTGTGTGGACACCAACATCATAATATTCTCAGTGCCTTAAAGTTTTTTATGTTTTTTTTTTTCCCCCTTTCAAAACATGTACTGTTCTCCGTTCGTAAGTACTGTAATTGCTGTGCATTCCATGCAAATTGTTCCAACTACCGTTGCCTATGTTTAACAGCTCAGGAGGCATTGATTGCTTCTCCAAGGGACCCCATTGCAACGGGGACAGATTGACCTCCTGCCAACCGGGTTGCCCAACAAAGGGCGTTTCCAGATAAAGATTCAGCGGGCCAGCCAGGCATGCACGCAAGACAACTCTCTGTTGTGTTTTTCGCCATTTTGACATGGAGAGGGCGGTGGGGCGGAGCCACACTCTCCTAAAAGTTAAACCACCAGTACCTGGCCCAGCTATCGGCCGCGGCGCTTCCCGTATACGCGCCGCGCCATTTGGGCTGCGGCCTGCCGAACCGCATTGGCTGGAGGCCGCAGGCAAAACGAAAAAGAAAATTGTGACGGCGGTTCGGCAGGACTTGGCGCGCAGCGTGCTGGGAGGCTCGGATTCAATAGCTGAGCGAGGTACTGGTGGTTTAAGAACTCTGAATTGGGACGCTGGACCCAGTTTCCAGCAGGTGTCGCTCCCCACCAATAGATGGAGCAGCGTTGAGCAAAAAAAAATAAAAATAAAAAAAAAAGAACTCCAAATGGAGAGGGGGGGAGCATGACCCATTGACTGATCAGATGCTGGACCATTCTGGCCAGGAGATGTGCAAAGCACCTGATGTGGCCAGTCATTCTGGGCGGAACATTGTCCAGTCAATGCTGGACCATTCTGGCCAGGAGATGTGCAAAGCACCTGATGTGGCCAGTCATTCTGGGCAGAACGCTGTGGACAACGTTTTAGTGTAAGTGTTCTGCCTGGATGGCCATCTTTGTTCTTCTGTTTTTTTGTTATCCCTCTTGGGGGAATCCTCTACCTTTCGGGCCCATTGGGACACCATCGCTTTTTTCCAGAGTAGAATAGAACAATGACTATAGCATGGTAATCGCCTGGACGTCTGGACCGGGTTCCAGACAGGCCCGTGTCTGCTGTCATGCACAAGGGGGCCATTTTCCGCCTGTGGCCAGTTCTTTTTTTTTTCCCCTGTCTGCTGTCATGCACAAGGGGGCCATTTTCCGCCTGTGGACAGTTTTTTTTTTTTTTTTTTTTTTTTAACCCCYCCCCTGTGGCCAGTTCAATTCATGCTGCATGGGAATCTTCCTCCAGGTCAGACAATAGGGCCCGCCGACACTGGTGGTTTTACCGGCCAGTGGACGGCCCAGCCAATGGAACCCCGCGGGCCCGCCCCCCTCTGTTTCAACCACCAGTACGCAGCGCCCACCTTTCGGAAATTTGTGTGTCACCTGCTCTGAAAATTTTGCGGCTCGGCCTACTGGCGCACAATGGCAGGCAAAGCCAGCCAAAAAAAAGAAAAAGAGTGTGCCTCTGGCAGTTGGGAAGAGCTGGGCGTGCAGTGAAGCACCTCCAGGGCCCGGTGTACTGGCGGCTTAACACGGGCCCAGGGAGAGGCTTGGTGTCTGCACTGCAAAAAGGCAGGCCCCTCCACGCAACTTGCGTTGGAGAAAAGGGGCTGAGTTCCACTGGAAGCCTGAATTCACTGAATTTCACTCATTAAACCACCAGTACCTTTCTCAGCTATTCACGCATTCCGATATTTCTTTCTTCTTTGTCCAGACTCTAAAAGCCTGCGTTGCTCGCGTAAAACATAAATCTTGGGTTTATAAAAACGCGCGCAGCGATCACTTCAAAAAACAAGTGATGGAGTGTTGTTTTCTAGTGCCTTTCGATGCCGAGCCTAAAACTGCCCTGCGCGCCAAAAAAAAACAAACCGGCACGGGCCTCGCTTTGGCTGCCGCCACCAGCCATTTCGGAGCAGGTAATCCCAGCCTGCCCACCTCCCACGTTAACCGGCGGGCATTGGTTTTTCAAACAGGGAAAGGTACTGGTGGTTTAATTGCAACTATGGGATGCATGCACGTATATGAACTGACGAAAGGTTTTGAAGCATGGTGAGCCCGAAATGCATGTCATCCGACCGTTTTCTTTTTTGGCAGTTTGTAAACTGCTGTCCACTGCTCTCCACACGATCTACGTGGGCGCAGCGCGACTGGGAGCGCTGCGCCCCGTTCACACGGACGGACCAAGTGATGCCAGGCGGCAGCAGTGACGGGAGGGAGGTGCAGTGCGGCGGCGCGCTGCAATATTGGGGGAGGGAGGTGAGGTGGGGGAGTGGCGTGGGGTTTTCGGAGGACGGGAGAACGATGGTGACGAGGATGGGTCGTGGTGGCGCCACGTTGGCGATGGCACATGAGGGCTCATGGCTGGTAGTTTAGTTTCCTCTTCTCCCTTTCGTCTTCACTGAGGGTTTGAATCTCCTGGGGTAACTTGTGACGCGCAACCTCACACCCCGCGCGGCGTAGCGTGCCCTTGCGCGCCGATCAGAGTTGTTGGGGGTGTGGCCGAGGATTTTTGGCCGTAGGGATGGAGTCACCCGATTGAAACGGGGATCTCTTAGTTTCGGGCCCAAGGTTGCCAAGGAAATGAACTATCGTCGTGGACTTCCGATGGGAAAAATACACCTCTTCGCGGGAAAAAGGGAGTCCCGCCAACCGAAATGGCCGTAGTGAATCCGAGCGGAAATAAGCACTAGTGGGGGGGGGAATAGGCCAGGGCAGCGGAGGGCGGAGACCTCCGTTCCTTTTTGCCTGCTCTGGGTTAGTCATATAGGTGGTAGGTTTGAGGCCTTCAGGCCTCCGCGTCGGACTCATTGAGCCCGCGAGGGCCCTCCTGCGCGGGAGGCGATACGGCGGGATGGCACGCCGGCACCCAAGTTCGAAATTGCGCGGGTCGCGCACCCGCGCCACGGGAGAGCTCGGGAAAACGCGCCGCTCCCTCGTACCCAAGGACCAGCCGTCGCCAGGAGCAAGAGTCTCCCTGACGACACCAGCGGCAATTGAACCGCGGCTGCCACGTGGCATCGGCTGCCGACCAGGGTAGCACCGTCAAGTTAGTGTAGGGCAATATCGGGGTCGGGGAGGCAAACCAATCAATCAGGACAAACCCGTCTCCCCTTATATTGCACGCCTGAGTCGGGTTACGCCAACAGATCTGCTCCGTTCGTCTTAGGGCGCGTCGCACGTCCGCATCGCAGTAGACGTCGTCGTCATCTGCGATGGGGAAGGTCGGTAGCGCGCTAGGACGATCGGAGGTGGGGGAAGAACACGGGCCAGACCCCGCGCTCTCAGTCGTCCAAGCCAACGCAGTCTCCATACAACAGCTCCGTGTCGCCTCTTTCTCTCTGGGTTAGGATCTCGGAGAGATGGCGGGATCTAAGTTCTCTTCTGCTGGCGGAGGTGTCAACAGCACGCGATCGCGCGTGCTGTTGACGTCACCGGTACGGGGAGGGGACGAGGAGTTCAAAACGACACCTGCCAACTCGAGAAGGATGGCGAGAGAGAGAGGGAGAGAGAGAGCCGACGCTGGGGCTGCGCTTGCGCGCAGCGGGGCGGGTCCGAGTCCCAAGGGCCGTGGAAGGGATGGGAGCGACGGGATCAACCCACTCATACCCCTAAGCAGATGGTCATCACAGGTCGCGTCCCCAGTCCCCGCCCAGATAAGTACGCACCCACATACATCAGCATGCATGCAATCAACAACAATCAACAGGACATCCAATCATCCATGGACTTTCACACCACCCATGCATACGACAAGGTCCCGCCACTCGGGGCCTCACACACACCATGCGTGGACAAAGCAGGAATGAAGACAAAAGTGAGTCCTCCTTGTACAAAAATGTCTTCACACAGCTGGCCCAACTAGGCACAGCCCCAATCCCTCAAGACCACCGACAATCATAGCCACAAGGCCCTGACGCTGCCGGCGTCTGATCTCCACCACCGCTCTGTCCCTTCGACCGTTACACCCCGAGTCCACCGCTAAGCCCGACCCGCGTCGTCACTCCGCCCGTCACTTGGGCTCGTAGAGCCTGTTCGGCGCCACGGACCTCGCGCACAGCTCG